GATGCTTTTTCTCGATGATTTGTCTTTATTTTAGTTGTAATTCCAGTTTGGTCCTGGGAGATAATCTGTGTAGCTTCCATTCACTCTGCTGCCATTATGGAAATCTCTCAGTACTTTTGTTCTTGCTTAGAGCTTATAGTATCTTAAAAATACTGAAATCTAAGAAACTGGATTCTGGAGTTCGATGTTGGGGGAATCCCAGGGTTGGTTGTAGATACACAGCTAATCCACAACAGAAACAAAGGGGTGCCAAAGAATTTTTAAATGTGTCCCTAAAAGCATTTCAGATGTACATTTTCATGAAAAAGTATGAGCCTTTGTAGAACAATTTGCCAATGGATATGCATTTCCTTCCTGTACTATTTATGCGTAATTGATCAAATAAACCAGTCTCTAAATTTCAACTTAAGTTCTCAGTGTAATTATGTGGCCCTCATAGGTTAGTAGTCTGACAGCACAGTATTTTAGTTTCTGAAATAAGAAATTGAGAAAATAGTAACTGATTTTTGGATCTTATGTGTATTGAGTGTACAGTTTATAAATCAATGTTTTACTTTGTAGCACAGATTTTTAAAATAATCTGTATTCCAGAATGTATATTTCACTTGGTTCTTTATTCCTGTGTGACTTGTCTATGGTTATAGAATGGTATTTCTGTCAGTTTTCATGATGTCAACAACTGTGTGGATTTTGCTTTAACTTGTCTGGCTTTATGAAGTGACAGTGACCTGAGTGCTCTGGAAATAGATTTTTGTCATGGAAAAAAACATAACTATAGATTGTAGTCAGGCAGATTAATAATGTAAGAGACTTTATAATGTAAGAATGGGAACAGACTACTTGTAAACAAATTATATTAATTTAATATTGAGCTGTAAGGCATTTTATAACTTCTACATCTTACAGGAACGCCTATGTAAGCTTTATGGAGAATCCTGATCAAGAGTGTGAAAACTGAGCAATGGAATGCCTAGCCAACATTCTGTTTAGTAGTTACTGAAAAGGCTGGAAAGTCTACTTTAACAACCGTTCTATCTTTTTCTCTCCCCATTCTCTTGAAAATTCATGGCAGGTGGGCAAACATCAGCAAGCAGGCAATACTGTATCTTTAGATGCAAGCATTGGCTAGCTTTTCATAAGCTTAAAAGTTACATTCTATTATTCTTAAACAATCTTATGAGTGAAAACAATTTGCCAGGTATTTTAAGAACGTGCAGAGGAAAATGTGCGTTTATTGTATTGTATTGGTCAGGAGGTTAGGTTGTACTGTAGCCACCAAGATCCCTGTCCCAGTTCTGGTTCTCTGGAAAGCAAACCTTGTGACAATCTGGTGTTTAGGGTACTGAGTAGGTCCTTGGGATAGGGAGGGGGAGAAGCTGAATTGGGCGGGGGGGAAGGTCAAGCCCATCTAATGGCCTCAGTGCCCATCAGAGTTGTTGCTCACAGGATGAAACAGGCCTTGGTCCGCCATTATGTGCGGGTCACTGACCCGAGCAAGGACGTGGTGAGGAGCTCTCCAGAGCGGAAGCAATGTCTGCAGGGGCTGCTGAGCTGGACGGCCTCAGTGATAGTGACCTTAGCAATGCCCTTGTAGCGACGGGGCAACGAGCCTCCCTGAGGGTGCACTTCTTCAGCACAGTTTTATAGTCAACATAATTCATTCTTTGAGCCTCTCAGTCTACTTCTTCAAATACGTTTGTTGAGGGCTCCTCCAGGATGCCATGGCTTTCTTCCCGGGGAACACCTAGGTTATTGTTCTGGCTTCTGCAGCTGGGCTCGGGGTGGCAACTGATAGTTCTCAAGTCCCTCCTCCATTATTCATTCTCTGTGTCCCTTACCGCCAGCTAGAGCCTCTTCTCGTCTCTGAGTCCTGCCTGGTGGCATGACCCAGACCCTCACCGGGAGGTATTGGAGCCCCTGTCAATATGTACCTCCTAGTCTGGGTTACTGTACTTGCCCGTTTACCATCACACTGGGCTCTCAGGCCATTTCTCTGTCCACACAATGTGAATGAGGCACACTGCCCAGTTGGGTGGCTTTTTCCTTTTCCACTGTTCTTCGAGGCCACCCTGAGTGAGGATGTCTTCTAAGTGACGTCTGTTTTTCACTATTCTCACACATCAAGCTGACACACTTGTATTTTCCTCCTCTTGTTACCTGGACATAGAGGACCCCTATTTGGCCACAGCTGAAAAGTGAGGGATGAGTACTGGGCAGCTGTGGCGGAGGACAGGGGTCTGAGTGAGCAGCCTGCCTGGGAATGTGCTTGTGCATTGTGGTCTTGCTCATGCTTGATCTTGGGTAGCACTTCCATTTCATGTCCTTAAGGTTACTGGGGACAAAGCAGCTTATGATATAAAACTCTGCACACGTGGTCACTTGATAAGCCATGGCAGGGCATGATGGATTAGAGGGTGGGGATGAATAAACAGGAGATATATAGAAACCCAAGCGAAAAAAATGATTTTCAGGGAAAATAAAATGATATTCATGAATGAGAATATAATCACAGCATGCTGCATGGTTTATCTGTGAGTAATATCATATAATATTGATTTAATAAAAATTTCAATAGACAAGGAGGGCTAAGGGAGCAGGAAAGTATGTGTGTACCTATTTGTATGAAGGAAGTCAGAGATATTACCTGAAACTAAGAATAAAGTGTGCCATTTAGAACAAGGAGGTAAATATAAAAACAAACTCTAGTTTGTTATTTAGAATGAAAAGTGATTACTCCTGTGATTCTGGAATAGGCTTTGGGAAGACAGAGAAGGAGACTTTTTCATTATAAACCTTATGGGATCATTTGATTTTCAAACTTTGCACATATATATTTTTAGTTAAAAACAAGCAAAATAAGAACAAGCCACAGCAGGACAGAAATTTAAAAAGGCACAAATTACTAGGTCAGGGATACATGTTCAAAATGGTTCTGGGAAAGTTGGTCTGGAAATAACACTGAGAAATATCTGGAAATATTTATATGGGAAAAATTGAAATTAGATCACTGCAACAGATCCAAAAATAAGTTCCAAAAGATCAAAATAGTAAAGGCCAAACTGTACATCTTGAGAAGGAAATTAGAGGTAATCCTTATATTCTTGATTTAAGAATAAAAAAACTCAAATCACAAGTTTGACCAAGTTAATGTACAAATGTTTTGTAAAATAAGGTTTTGTAACTAAGTGAAAAGACAGAGCAAAGGAGAAGATATGGTAATGCATATGACCAGAAAAAGTTGGTATTCAGAACATTTCATAAACAATTATTAAGAAGAATATTCCAATAGAAAAATGGGTGAACAACTGAACTGTGATTTTACAGAAGAGTAAAAGCAAATGACCTATAAAGGTGAAAAGATGCTTGCTCTCACCAGTAACTGGAAAAAACCCCAAAATAAAACCACTCATCAGATTGGAGAGAATGTGAACTAAGGAGAGCTACAATGTGCTGCTGGTGTGAGTGAGTATAAGTCAATGAAACTACTTTGGAGAGCAAATTGACAAAATCTAGTGAAATTGAAATTATGCCTTTCTTTAAACCTAGTAATTTTAATCTTAGGACTCTACCTAGAGAAACTCTCAAAATGTGCACAGGAAGATGTGAATAATAATGAACATACCAACATGGATCGTGGTAGGGAAAGTCTGAGAAAAGACTAAATGACCATTAGCAAACAGGTGAATGGATAAATGTGGTATAGTCCTGAAAAGGCAGGTTATTACATGGTTAAAATGAACACATAACACTGCATAGATGCATAAATCTAAATGGGTTGTTTACTAGACAGTTCTCCAAAAAAGATATACAAATGGCCAATAAGGAATGAAAAGATGCTCAACATCACTAATCATTAGGAAATGCAAATCAACCCCACAATGTGATACTGCTTCATACCCAATAGGATGGCTATTATCAAGAACTAGAAAATAAGTGTTGGTGAGGATGTGGGTAAATTGGAACCCTTGTACACTGCTGGTTGGATTATAAAGTGGTACAGCTGCTTGGAAGAGTATGGAGGCTCCTCAAAATCTTAAACATAGAATTATGATATGATCCAGGAATTCCACTAATGCTAAGACTGATGTCAAAGGTTTTTTCTTTCTTTCTTTCTTTTTTTTTGGTAGGAGTTTTATGTTTTCAGCTCTTACATTAATATTTTAATCCATTTTGAGTTCATTTTTGTATATGGTATAAGAAAATGGTCCAGTTTTATTCTGATGCATGTAACACCCCAGTTTTCTCAACACCATTTATTGAAGAGTCTATCTTTTCCCCATTGTCTATTCTTGCCTCTTTTGTTGTAGATTAATTGACCATGTAAGTGTGGATTTATTTCTGGGCTCTCTCTTCTGCTCCATTGACTGGTGTGCCTGTATTTGTGCCAGTACTATGCTGTTTTGATTACTATTGCTTTTAATATAATTTGGAATCAGGAAGCATGATACCTTCATTTGTTCTTTTGCAAGATTGCTTTGGCTATTCAGGGTCTTTTGTGGTTCCATACTAAATATTTTATTTTGATGATTCTGTTTTTAGACATTATTTTACTGATTCTGTTTTTAGACATTATTTTGCTGAATATTATATTCCATTTAATTTTGTATGCATGTATGTAAAGTTTGAGTTAGTGATTTAACTTTCAATTAGGTTTGTCCAGTATTGACATTCATGCATCATTTTACTATATGAACCTTGGTTTATTTGGTAAAGATATGTCATTGAAATTATTTTCTAGTATAAAATACACACCCAATTTCTTTCATTTTCTTTATTTTTATATACTTAAATATATTGGTGGGAACTGTAGGCAAAAATCATTTTTATTTAAGGAATAATGCTAGTTGAGTAACAATACTAAATTGTAGGTCATGAAAAATTAATTAAAGGCTTCCTAACTTTATGTATTGTATCATTAATTTGGCCAATGATTGTTTTATAGTATTTGTCTTAATTCTTTTATTTCATTTAAAAAATTTGTTTGATATGTTTTTTTCTAGCTTGTGATGAATGGAAAATATTACCGAAACCAAATCTTCATAGAGATGTTAACAGATTTGGACACTCTGCGGTGGTCATTAATGGGTAAAAGAAATACATTTATCAGTTATACTATCCCATATTCTGTTATTATTTTTAAAAATATCATTTGTACTTAATGGCATTGGATTTTATGTATCCCTACTGTACTGTGGAGTACCTTTTGGATCATTAACCATATCCTTCATTCTTTTTTGTTTAAATATATTTGAAGAGTAGGGGAATGGTCAAAGGAAAGGTGTTGAGACAAAACTTCAGATACTTAAAAAAAAAGTCATCCTGCCTTCTCTCCCTTTTCCAGAGATCAAATAATGAATGGCCTCTTTAAAAAAGATCAAACTGAAATGATAGAATGGCTAGCCCCATATTTCTAGAGAAGAGAATAAGGATAGTGGAGAATATTCATTTTAGTTCTATCATGATTTAGTTCTATCTAAATGCATGATTTTTTGACAAGTCTCTTACTCTCTCTGGACTTTAATATCCTTAAATCCATTGGGAATTAGGATTGGATGATCATTAAGTTATCTTCCTCCTATAGGTTAGTATGATTTTTCTATTTTTGTAGCAAAAATTTGGTAATATGGACTGAAGTGACAATAAAAATATGCTAGCTCATTCATTATCTTAAAATATGTAATTCATAATGACATGTTTATAAGTTCATTTATTACCATTTTACTCAAATTAGGGAAAATTCTCCAATTGATACTAAAAGCAAGTAAAAGTTACCTACAGTGAAACTATGTACCTGATATCAGTTGGCTTTCAAAATAGTAATAAATGAGATTCAGAGTGTAAGCATATAACCTCTAGGCTTCTCTGTTGAAAAACTGTGTTTTGTTGAATTCCATTTTACTTCTTTTCAATAGTAAAAGGCATTATCGAAGCATTCTGTGATCCTTTCGTTTAGTGTATTAATATCTTTAGAAATGAAAGTGCTGTGTGAGAGCATGGTAAACGCCCTTGGCATTGTACCACCAATTCAATAATTGTCTTGGATTTTCTTTCTAAATTGAAATTTAGAAAATCTTTTTGATTACTTTACTGTTTTAAAAATTGATTTTAGGGAGAGAGGGAGAGAGAGATTTTTTTTGTTCCACTAATGCATTCACTGGTTGACTCTTGTATATTCCCTGACTGGGGATAGAATCATCAACCTTGTCCTATTGGGATGACTCTCCAACCAACTGAGCTACCTGGCCAGTTGTTTTTTTGTTTTTGTTTTTTTTTAATTTTATAAGAAAATAGTAAAACACTATAAGAAGATCTCCTTACCTAATTTCTAAGTTGTATGCCTGTATTAAAAAAATTAATATTTTAGATAGCAATTCTGAAGTATGCCTTATTATCCATTTAACTATTATCTATTTCTAAAAAAAGTGTTTCCTACCTTGATAACATAATGTGCAATGTATTCATAAATTTATTTTTGAAACTAATACATTAAACAGAGACTTTTGTTAATATCGTTTCTTTAAGATTCTTGTTTTGTTTTTATTAGGTCCATGTATATATTTGGAGGATTTTCTAGTGTACTCCTTAATGATATCCTTGTATATAAGCCTCCAAATTGCAAGGCTTTTAGAGATGAAGAACTTTGTAAAAATGCTGGTCCAGGGATAAAATGTATTTGGAATAAAAATTACTGTGAATCTTGGGAATCTGGGAATACGAATAATATTCTTAGAGCAAAGTGCCCTCCTAAAACAGGTAAAAGCATTTTTCCCTTTCCCTTGCCGTGTCTGCCACAAAGCTTCTCTGCTTGGCTAGAAGTGTATTCTGCTTATAAGAATTACCTTAGTAGCTTCCAGAAATTAAAAATTTATAATCCTCTAAGTAAGAATCTTATGCTTGGACTAGACAGCTATTAATAATTTAATATCTTTATTAGCTATTTTTAGTTTGCTTTTAAAAATTCTGCATGTAATATTACATATCAATATTTTATATATAACATTTTATATGAATTACTTTCCTTTGTAAGTAAAAAATGATTTCAAATAATCCTTTCTAAGAAATACTATGTACTTCAAAGAAATAAAATGAAGTAATTTATAATGCATTTGGTATTTTTTTTTCTTCCTGAATTATTGCCATGCCAGACCACAAAGTTAAAAAAAAATTGTCTACAATTTTGATGATTAATGTTCTGGTTTAATATTGTGTATAAAGTATTGAATAAGTAAATCTAACTTATGAAAAGTTACTGGTAAATATTATTTATAAATGAATGACTAGGATAAAAATTGTTCAGTTTTCTTTAAGTAGGTAAGTTTTGTACATTTTCAGTGTTAAAATTAAAAAATATATTTTTAAATTTGCTAATCTATAAATCAGATGTCTCTAAATACCTTTATGAAGAATGATAAACAGTATTTGTTGTAGTGTTTTCTTTTCGATCTATAGCAATATATTTTGCTCACTAAATTACCTGTGAGTCTTTTCTCCCTCCTCCATAACGTGAACATTTTAAATGGCTATAGGACCTGGTAGATTCAGTAATTAAGATGAGGGCAGGATGCATTTAAAACCCTGCAACACAATTAACTACAGAGTTGACTTCATACTGAAGAACTTATTTTGATATTGATGGCCATCTTTATGGTTTAAAAATGTCTTAGTGATTCTTAAACAGATGTTAAAAATGTGTGACTCGGGGAGCGTGACATTTTCTTTTTCTCCCATTTGTGTTGTAGCTGCTTCTGATGACAGGTGTTACAGATACGCAGACTGTGCCAGCTGCACTGCCAACACCAACGGGTGTCAGTGGTGTGATGACAAGAAGTGCATCTCCGCCAGCAGTAACTGCAGCGTGGTCAGTACGTAGGGTCGCGCGGTGCCCTTGCTGCTCTGTCGTCACGGCTCACCGCTCGTTAGCACTGCGGAGAGGGCGCCCACGCCGAGGCAGTTAGGAAACACGTAGGCAGTCGCTCTCTCCGGACGTTGTCCATCCAGTCTGCAGTTTGTTGCTCAGATTTGTTCGTGCAGATTCCATTTTGTATCCACTATCTTTTACTTCTTTTCTTTAAAAAATATTTTTTCTTTATGGATTTTAGAGAGAGGGGAAGAGAGAGAGAGAGAGAAACATGGATGAGAGAGAACATCGATTGGCCGCCTCCTGTATGCCCTCCACTGGGGAGCAGGCCCACAACCTGGGCATGTGCCTTGACTGGGAATCGAACCGGCGACCTCTTGGTGCATGGGTCGACACCCAACCACTGAGCCACACTGGCCAGGCAACTTTACTTCTTTTCATGGGTCAGACTGGAAAAATTCTTACAAAACTGAATTCTTTTTCATAGAAAGCCTACAACTATAAAGGCTGTCTTCTGTGCTGACAGAAATAGGGTTGTATAGATAAGTACTGGTATCATTTCCAGAGGGTTCTTGTCAGACTTGCTGTAATAGTGGTGTATGGTACAGTGTTGGGTTGCAGTCCTTCTTGTGTCAGTTTAACCTGGGGTGCCGACAGTGGTAGTTTGCCTTTTATCTGTCTTGAGATCAGTGGTTCTCAGTCAATGGCAGTTTTGTACCCCAAGGGACATGGGGCAATGTGTGTAGACATTTTCGGTTGTCATGACTTCACTGAGGCTGCTACTGGCATCTAGTAGGTAGAGACCAAGGATGCTGTTAGCCTACGGTGCGTGAACTGCCCTCCCACAAAAATAGTGTCTGACTCAAAATGTCAGTAGTGATGGGGTTGAGAAGCCCTACTTTAGGTAGACTGCTAACACAATTAATAAAATTAATCTTTATGGTAGATGAAAATTGATTAAGAGCAGCAAAAATTAACCTTTTAAATGGGCAGTAAAAAATATCCCATGATTTTTAGATGTCAGCAAATTGAAAGGAAAATTTAAACAGTATTAAAAAAAGTCATTTAATAGGATTAACATTTCCCCAGTTGGGCAATAGCTTGAATAACTGAATAATGTGCATATAGATTTTCAACTGAATGCAACATAAAATTTTTTTTTCTCCAAATTTTATTTAATCAAAAGTATCTTCTTCCTTTGCCAGATAGCAGGTCGTGGTAAAAGATAAAGAAAAGGGGGTTTGAAAACTAAGTAAAACACTTCTATTGTAGCATCTAAAATTGTTCTTCAGTACCTAGTCATATTTCAAAACATTATGTTTTAGGATTTTGTTTTACAATAATATTCAAAACTTAAAATGGGGAAAATGTTCAGTTAGTGACTTACCAGACTGAATCCTTGTGCTCTCATGCAGATAGTGTTGGTATGCGGGGTGGGGGTGGGGCGCAAAAGTAGGGTTACCGCTGTGAGTACACGAAACAGAGTTTATGCTTGTATTATTACTAATTATTGTATTGTTTTCCATACGGACAACTGTAAACCTTCTTTTGCCCCACTCTGTGTACATTCCAGTGATGTAAGTTGCTTTAATAACAATATATACTTCGACTTTCTTCGTTTTAATGTTAATATGACATGACTCTTCTTTGAAAATTTGAATTACTTTTTTTATACTTGCATTAATATTCATCTAGTGAGTTATTTTAGTGAGTCATGTGGAAATCGGAGTGAAGGAAGTAGTGAAGCATGGGAATAAGGGACTAAAATGGAGAGTGTTATTAGATAAAAATTGCAAGCAGATTTTATTTAAAATGGTGTTGAATAAACCTGAGTTAATTTGTGCTTAGACAGTTACACTAAGTGAAAATACACATATCTAAAAGGTTGTGTTATATAAATTGCTGTCAAGTATTCACTTTATGAAGTGTTTGTTTTTGCTTTATATTTTATTTTTGATAATGATATTTTAACAAGAAAAGCAGTGGGTGAGAGCGGAAGTGAGCAGATGGTACTCACTTGCAGTTTAGACTTCGATGTAATGTGTCTTTTAGACAGTTTTATCACAGCGTCTGGTGATTGAGCTAAACCAAATGCTAATGGATACAGAAAAGTCTGCGAGGCTTTAGTGTAAACGATGTCCATTTCATTATTGAATCATATTGACTGCAAGTTTTGTGCTCTCATAGTTCAAATAACCTGCTTACTTCTCACATATTTTCATTGTAAACTTATATCCATGTTAGACTGAAGATCAGTAGAATAATGGTCAGCCTTCTGTTTACAATGTACACCTGGTCATTAGGCCAAAAAATGCCAGCCATCTTTCAGAACAACAGTCAGTTTTTTTCCCATAATTGATTAAATCGGTGCTGTGTGTAACTGAAATAGAGTTTCATCTATTGTACTGGCTCAGTACCAATAAATGACTATACTGTTTTTAATGAAAAGTGGTATAGTTACTTGGTTGATGACTCTAATTATACCGTTGTTATTCTAAGGACTGGCCTTAATCAGTTATTTTTTCCCTTATTCTGAGATGGTTAGCCATTTTCTTGTCATTTTTATAGGTTATTCTATTTGTCAGATTATTCAGGTAAATTTATTTTTCTTCAGTTAGCTGACAAATGTTTAGAACTATAATGATTGTAAAAACTAATACTGAGATTTCTATGCAATATGAAAAGAAAAAGGCATGAATTAGAGTCAATAACAAAAAAGTATGTTTCTAATGAAAATGTGATGGTTGAGTAGGTGTCACAAAGTAATTTGAGATTTTGAAAAATATATCTTATTTTTTTCTAGGATGAATAAAGATAAACATGAGTATCTATGTACTTTTTATGTTACTTTATAGTATATGTAATTTGCTCTAAAGGAATTAACATCTTTGAATGGAGGTGACTGCAATGTGTTTTATGTAGGAAAGCATAGTAATTTATAAATAAATACTTGATGAGTGATACTTAAAGTACTGAAGAAGATGAAAATTGATTTAACTGTTTTTATATGTGGGATAGTTATAACTTAACTTTACTAACTGAAAAGAAATATTTAGCTTCCTTATATGAGAAAGCCTGAGGCAAGCATTATTCCTGTAGAGAAGAAAAAGAAAGTTGAAGTGGGTCTGAGGATGTAGCATGAAAGTCCTTTATGAATTTCTTTCAAAGAAGACTCACAGGAAGGGTTGAGCCAAAAATTGTAGCATCTGATTTTCACGAGGTCAATTTTACTGTAGATATTGGTAATATGTGAACCAACTGAACCTGGGTGTATGTGGGGAACTGCCACTCACGCTCCTGTGTGCCTGGTTTTTTCTTTTTTAAACTTTAACCTCTTAGTGCTAGAATTAGTTCAAATATGATTTCATTCTATAGTAGAATTGATCAGAATGTCACTTTTGCAGGTTATTTGCAGCCTGGATGAAGGCAATGTGACAAATATAGGAGAAACATCATTTAACCAAAACCAGTGTTTAATCTGTGGAAGTAAAATTAGTTTGAGTTATTGAGAAAATAATTTATCTTTTTAAATTCTATTGGATTCTGATAAAGCGTCTCTTAAATTTTTTCTACTTGTCATTTCAACTTCACTCCCAGGGATTTGCACGATCGTTTTATTATGACTAGAATTCTTTTATGTGATCATTACGAGAATGACTTTGTGCATTGGCCTTATTTATTGAATAGGAAGCCTGTTATCTAATTCAATAGAAAATGTCTTCATTAGATGGTTTCTATTTCAAATTGTGTATTTGCACATTTTTTTCCCCCAATAAGTACACGTTCCAATTCCAAGAACTGTAATTGAACTAAATAAATAAAGCAAGGTTCTGATTCATTAGAATTGGAGTTGGGGTTAGACATTTGTATTTTAAAGTTCACCAGGTAATTTATATACACTGACGTTTAAAAATCATTGCTGTGCGAAGGTGAAAAATAACATTTTATCTTTTAACTTTCTAGTCTGTGAAAAACTACACCAAATGCCATGTGAGAAATGAGCAGATTTGTAACAAACTTACCAGCTGTAAAAGCTGTTCATTAAACTTGAATTGCCAGTGGGATCAGAGACAACAGGAATGCCAGGCTTTACCAGGTGAAAATTTCAGTTTGGTAAATGAGTTTTATAGTCCACAGATGAGTAACATTATAGTCAAGAGCTTTTAGTAAGAACATTCCGTTTTCCAAATTGAACCAATAGCCAATAAACAATAACATTGGAGTAATAATAGCATTGTTTCTACAAGAATATTTGAATGTTTGCTTCCACTGCTTTTAAGATGTTTCAGGTTTCTTGTACTTTTTGTATTATTGACTTGATCAGAGTCCTCTTCCAATTCAAAAAAAGTGTATCTTAACACAGAAAATAATAAGCACTCCTATTGATAGCCACATTTTAACAAAGGTTAACATTTTGACATATTTGATTTGTTCTTTAAGTGCCATTTTAAAAATTCTGGGAATGATTTTGTACTGACTGCTTTTTTTAAAATGATGAGTTGTAACATTTATAATAAATATGTGATTTAATGAGAATCTAAGTTGTGTAAATGAGAGCAAAGCTCATTTTAAAAAGCAATTTCATTTTATTTCTTACAGTTAACACTGTTCTTAGGAGACCCTAACTACTATTCTTTTTAAGCATAAAAGAGAAAATCAGAAAATTAAAAAGTAATCTAGATCTTTAAGCAGTTTCATCCAATTATACAGAGAAACAGACACACACACTGGTTAAGTGACTTTCTGGAAGGTGCATGGCCTATAATGGCAGAAAGGAACTATTACCTGGGTGTGCTACATCATTTTAGTTTTTGTCTTGCCCTATTCCAAGCTTTTTTGTTTATTTTTTCATAAAAAAATTGGAAACTTATTGCAATTCTGAAATGTATGGAAAATTTCATCCTGGGATTCATGTCTTTCTTACAAGTCCATGTAATTCAATAAACATCAGATTGCTTTTAAAAATACCATTGAGATTTTGCAGTGTTTACTTATTCAAATTTTGAATTTTGTTTACATATTGACCTTTAGAGCTTTTGAATAGTGACATATTTATGTGTGTTCACTTTGAGAAAATCAGAATAGGAATGCAGTAGGCAAGATCTGAGAAGCAGTAGTGAGATGAAACTAAACTTGAAAGTAATATTGATTTCTAAGTGTTAAAGTCCAAAATCGACATATAGATCAGTAGAAATACGCACAAAGTCTCTTTTGAAAGACAGAGTAAATCCTGGCCAAAATAATATTTGACTGAAAGGAATGTGTGCATTTAAAGGAAGATTGCTTCAATAAGAAAGGGATTTGGTTCATAGTGGAAGTTTTATAAAATAACAGCAAAGTTATACTTGGTAGTTGCTACCTACTCATTGTCCAGGAAAACACTTTGCGCTCCACTTGACCAGGTTAATATTTTGAAGAATAATAAACACTAAAAGTATTTTTTTTATACACTAACTTCTCTTGTTCTCTGTTCATATTTGCTAAGCAGTTAAGTGGGTATGTATAGTATGGTTTTCTTTCAATGCTGAGAATGGAGGGCCCAGTCTATAGCAGGTGCACTTTTCCCTGGAAATTTGTGAATTGCATTCTTTTAATTGATCTCATGTAAACTTGGCAATTTGTATGTATCACACTAAACTCATTTAACAAATTAATTGCTATCCCTTTAACTCTAAAGCTGAGTTGATGCTCAATAATACAAAAGCTTACAACACGGAAATATTTGGTTCACTGGTGTAGTTTAGTGTAGCCTCAAAGGCCCATGCATCTGTTTCCATTGGTATAATTTGTCAACCAGGTATTTTTGGCCTCAGGAAAAAAAAAATCTAAATCCTTCCAAGATTCAGTAATGTAAGAAAAAGCCATAATTTAACAAAACTTGTGTACTTTTTCCTTAAAGTGACTTGGTACTTCAGATTCTGGAAGACAGGAAGGTTGCTATGTGTGTAGCTTGAAAATGAAAACAAAGGTGTTTAAACAGTCTCATTAAATGATAATTACTGTGTTCCAGAAACGATAAGCACTGTGTTCCAGGAACTGTGTCTTATTTGTGGTACCCAATTCAATAGAACAGCAGTTACTAGAGAAACAGAGTCCCTTGTTCACGGATCCTTTTAGCGGGTCCATGAGGTCAAAACTAATAATACTAAGACATTACTTGCATTTTTAATTCTCATTCTGTTATGAGTTTACTATGGTGTTTTCTAGAGGTTTTGTGATACATGATTTCAATAGATTGAATATAGAAGCAGATATGAGAATACGCTTATCTTATATTAAACCACCATTATAGAGATTTGCAAAAAATGTAAAACAATGCCACAGTTTTCACTATTTTGTTTTGAAGACTATAATTTTAAAAATTAAATATGCTCTTTATTTTAAATGGTAATATTTCCCCCTGAACATTTTATAGGGAAAGTTTTCAATATATAGAAAAATTGAAAGAATATTACAGAGGACACCAAAAACCCACACCCCAGGTTCTGCAATGAACATTTTGCTCTGCTTTATCCCTAATCTCTCTGTCTGCCCATCTCTTTCTCTACTTATCAGTCCATCTTAATTTTTGATGCCAAGGCCCTGATTTGAACTGTCAGGGAGAACACTTGCTAATAGATCTCCTTTGGGCCTGAATGTGGCATTGAGGGGCAAGACATCCTAGACACTGGGCAGGTGCATTTGTAATAAATTTTACTTATTTTGTTTGTTAAAAAAATTTTTTTTCAATTACAGTTTACAGTCCATATTATTCTATGTTCGTTTCTGTGTACAGCATAGTGGCTAGACAATCATGTGCTTTATAGAGTGGTCCCCCTGATATTTCAAGTACCCACCTGGCCCCATGTGTAGTCATTACACTTTTATTGACTATATTCCTGTGCTGTAATTTACATCCCTGTGACTATTCTGCGACTGCCAGTTTGAACTTCTCTTTTTCTTATCCTCACCCGAGGACATTTTTCCATTTTTTGTTCAGATAGAGTGGGAGGGAGAGAGAGAGAGATAGAGAGAGAGAAACATCGACATGAAAGGGACACATTGAGTGGTTGCCACCCTCACGACCAACCCGGGCCAGGGACAAACTGCAACCGAGGTCCACACCCTTAGCGGGAACCGAACATGTGTCTCTCTGGACCGCAGACTGACGCTCTAAATGCTGAGCCAAACCAGCCAGGGCCAGTTTGTACTTCTCAATCTCTTCACCGTTACACCTAGTCCCCCAAACCCACTACCCCCTGTTAACCATCAGTCTGAATTTTAAATTATAATTTTAAATAAACAAGTATGTCTTTAAATGATCAGCTTTAATTTTTATATGGTCAAAAACCAATCGATATAAAATGGGTAGAGAAAGTATCTGTGGAGTCCTCAAGAGTTACAGGGGTCTTGGACCAAAATGTTTGAGAACAGCTACTTAAGAAAAATTCCATGCAGGTCACACTAATGCAACTAAGGTTGAAAGGGCGGGAGGCACAGATTTACTTACTGTGATGTGGAAACTAAAATGTAGTCAAACTTTAGAGATCAGCGTGGTAATGAAACACTGCATTTGTTTATTAGCGCACACTAGTACATACCTTTAATATACTTATGAGTCTGTGTTTTAGAAATAGGTGCTGTTTTAAGTTCAATTTGAACTCTTAAGAATAAAGCACTATACTGAATAGTGGGTGGGTTTAAACTTTAGAAAGACCTGGATAGCTGTGTAAAAATGAATATTAAAAAGCAAGGATTATAGCTTCTTATCTAAATATAATGAAATGAGAATATTCTCCCCACAATTACAATTAAAGAATCAAAGAACCAAACTTATATCAAAATTGTACACCTGGACTATGGAAATGAGATTTGGAAGACAATTAGTTACACTTGTAGGAATAACTGTGAAATTGCTTTTGTTATAGGTTGCTTATTTTTTTAATTAGAGTGATCTTGTATTATGTGAACTAGACTTTGGGATGTAAATATGGTAGTCATTTTACTTGTTGAGGTACCATATGCCAATACACCAGAGTTACTGAGAAAACCTAGCAAATAGTCAATACATTTTAACAGATGTTATAGAGCCATAGCTTATCTTATGTTTAAAATTAAAGAAAAAAATTAGGATCTTCTGTTCTCATTCTCTACTAGACTATTAAACAAATTGTGTTCATTATATTGTATTGATGTATTTAAATATTTTATTGTTAAAATTATTTAAACAAATATAGAAATTATATTTAGAATTCTAAAATAAATGAAAAACACACATGCTTTTTAGTAATCTAAAAATAAGTTGTACTGTTTCTTTTCTAGCTCATCTTTGTGGAGAAGGATGGAATCACGTGGGGGATGCTTGTCTCAGAATCAATTCCAGCAGAGAAAACTATGACAATGCAAAGCTTTATTGCTATAATCTCAGCGGCAATCTTGCCTCACTGACGACCTCAAAAGAAGTGGAATTTGTTCTGGATGAAATACAAAAGTATACGCAGCAGGTAATAGCAGTACTTATTTATATTATAGAAATATGCTGATGATACTATGATTATTGGCAATGATTCATTCTTTTTGTAGTTTAGTACATTACTTTGACTACCTCTTGGAAGTAAACGTGGACCTGATTTCAGAAGTGAACTGGAGGAGAACTCATCCTGTATGTGTGTTTAGCAGGAAGGTTTTCTATATCACACAGTCAACCAGTACATTATCTTAGGAGGAACTCATGTGACTAAATATACTGAAACACATGGCATATGATTTAATAATTCATTTTGAAGTATTATTATTTTATAATTTGAAAAATCCCTCTTAATAAAAACATTAGACCAAAACCTTGGCTATATTTGTTTACATGTATATTTTGTGCATGTGAGTACATGTGTATATTGTGAGTTTTTGAATTACGCTATTTTTCTAGATATAGGCTTGTTTGAAATAATTTACTAATAGTTGGTTAGTAGGACTAAAACCAATATTTAAAGTATGAAGAAGATATTGGAACATGCAGCACTTGGAAACAGTTTCAATCTATAGAGTTGTTTTGTGGAAAATATTTCCATACAAGATGGAATATTTCCTTGAAAATTGTGTCAAAATATCATTTTATAAGAAATGTCCAAGAGGAACTGATATTATTTCTTATCTATTCTTGGGATATTAAAATGTACTCAATTCCTAAGAATATATTAAATAGGAGATTTGGAAATAATTTATCAAATCTTATTTTAAAATATTTAGGTCATATACTTACTTGAAATGATTTGAGGACATTTTAAAAATGGAAATGTGATTGACATATAACATTATATTAATTTCAGGTGTACAACATGATGATTCAATATTTGTGTATATTGTGAAAATAATCACCACAATAAATCTACTTAATATCACTATACATAGTTACAAAAAATTTTTTTCTTGTGATGAGTTTTGGGATTTATTCTCTCAACGACTTTCAAATATGCGATACAGTGTTATTAACTGCAGTCACCATGGTGTACATCACAGCTCCAGGATCTGTTCCATGACTGGGTGTTTGTGCCTTCTGACCCCCTTCACCCATTTTGCCACCCCTCGCCCTGCCTCTGGCCACCTCCGGTCTGTTTGTTCTCTGCATCCACCAACATGTGTGTGTGTGTTTTTTAAGATTTTTCATATAAGTGAGATCATATGGTATTTGTCTTTCTCTGTGTGACTTATTTTAGTTTGAAGTAATTTATTAAATGTAGTTTGTTTGAGAAATAGCAGCCTTATGGCTGAGGAATAAGATATACATGTAAGGAGGGGCGTATGTCATGTAGGAGAAACCTTTAAATTTTTTTAGTTTATTTTATATTTTTTTCTTCTGACACTTTTACTTTATTTCTCAAAGTATTGATGAATACTTTCTCATACATTAATCTCTTTGCAGCCCACCTCTTCTTGGACTACACACTGATCGGCATCCTTCAGTCATGTTTCCAAGTATTTACATACATAAGGAGAAACAGAAATATAGTTTTGTTTTTATGAGTATTCTTTTCTCTAGGTGGTACAATATAAATATTGTTCTGTAGTTTCTTTTCTTAAAACAAGTCTCTGGAAAGCCTTCTATTTTATTTTATTTTAACTTTATTTTTATTGTTGACACTGTGATGTCCCCATTCCCCCCACCTTTGCCCACCTGCATCAGCTCTCACCCCCACTTTTGGCCATCACCCCCTGTTGTCTGTGTCCATGGTTCTGCATACATGTTCTTGGGCTATTCACCTTTGGTCCAGTTCCTCCCCTCCCCTCTGACAGCTGTCAGTCTCTTCAGAATAATGTGACAAGGTATATTTGTAAAGTTTTATTTTTAGTCACATGGAGCATACAGCCTAAGATCTGTTTCTATTCTGGTGAAACCAGAAGCTTCATACCTTTAATTATAAAACCGAGAGACAGTTTCTAATGACCATTTGGAAATTAGTCCTACTGAATATGTATAACCTATAAAGAGCTTATTATTGGTAAATTCACATTCTTTGAGTTATAGAAAGTACTAGTTTTTGGCATTAGCACTCTATTGCTCTATTATTTTTATTTCTTACACTATAACCTTGAAGTGCGCTATTTTACAAGTTGCATATTTCAAGGATACTTGTTTTAATTGCTCGTTTTTTTCTTGCTTATTATTGTATGTCATATAGATTGGGCTATTATTTTGGATATGTGATGTACTTCGAGCCCATAGTTTGTGGACTAGCATGCCCTGCAAATGAAGAATGTTCTATTTCATTAGAAAGCTGAGCCTTAGCAAAATTTCAGAGGTGAAAACTTCTGCAAGGTGACATTCCATTAAGCATATCTTTATATAAAATGAATTATACTCTGAGTCATTGCAGTTGTATAAACTTGAGATAACCCTACCTTGGCAAATAAAGATCAACAAATTCATACACTTTAAAGAGATATCCTGGGTCAGATGATCATTTACTTATCGGAAATGGCTAATGAAATGTTGCAATGATTTATGGTGTGCTGTTGTACAATTTCTTAATATCGTAATTTATCTTTCATTTTCAACTGCCTGTCCAGTTCATTTACTGAGTAATAGTTACTTTAAATGTTTTATCAACTGCTTCATTTTTCTGTTCTTCTCTTCCTTGAAGATTCTTATCATGATGAGTTAGGGAGTAATACTTCATTTTAAATGACTTGTCTTTACTATGGATAGTTCGGAAATATAGGCAGAGTAGCTGTAAAGTGAAGCATAATCATTAATCTGAAATATCTATGTTGGATTGACTCCTGCTGTTATTATCAAGAACTGTAAAAATGTTATAGCTTCGTTGTTATAAAAGTATCTTTTAGAGTAATGTATGGAATATATTAAAATCACAAGGCATAGCAGCATGTATATATTTATAATTAGAAACATTATTTATTAAGCATTATCTCTGTCTCAGGAATTGAGTGTTGAAAAATAACTATCTCTGTTCTATTGAACTTTGTTCAGCAGAATTTATTGACTATCTACTATGTGTACAGGTTATATGAGATCTACTGTCATAGTACATGTACATTTTTTTTTAAGAGAGAGGAAGGGAGAGGGAAAGAGAGATAGAAACATCATTGAGAGAGAACATCAATTGGCTGCCTTCTGCATGCCCCCCAATGGGATTGGGCCCACAACCTGGGCATGTGTCCTGACTGGGAATCGAACCAGCAACCTCTTGGTGCATGGGTTGACGCTCAACCACTGAGCCACACCAGCCTGGCTGAATGTACATATTTTAATTTTATTTAAGAAGTATTTGTTGAGTGTTAACTATGTGAAATCTATTAAAATTTATTTTAAAGTGCATTTATACACTTGACAAATTTCTAGTTCTATGACCACCTTTATAAGCTCTGTCTGACCATTTGTGCAATATATTTAGAATGAATACTGGATATATATCTCATTTCTATTTTGTTAAAGAATCAAGTGGAGAGACACAGTCCACAATTAAAAAAAAAGGATGATGTGGAGTTTCGAAACCACTTAATATTATAATATAATTTTATTAGCTTAGTAACTTCGAAAACAAATATATCATCATGTATATTAAAGTAGAAGTGTTTAAGAAAGATGTTAGGAAGGCAGTAGAATGGGGGTTTTCAGTGCTCGTTTCCCTCACAGAAACATTGATTTGAACAACCATCTGTGTACAGAATCATCTTTACAAGAGTGAGGAACCCAGGTGAGTGATTACGGCGCCTGGGAGGAAATGCAGTGGTAAGAAAAGACTCATTAAAGAGGGTGGAGCACACAGTTCCTAGTACCTGCGGCACCCTTTCCCCAGGGCTGTGCAGGGCAGTGAGGCGTGTGAGAAACGCCCTCAGCAAAGGGGGAGAAGAGTGGAGTGAGCACCTGACCTGGTGGACACCAGCTTTAGGCTTGCCCTAATGAACCCTGGTGCGTGGCTGGTCCCCATGGACCCAGGCGGCAGCCATGCCCAGTTCCAGACTGGTTTCCATGCCCTTAGGCTCCAGGGTGGTTCCCATGGACCCAGCCTTTAGGACAGTTCCCTGTGGCCCTAGGCTTCAGCAGACCTGGGGTCCTGGTCCTCTCCAATAGACCCCAGCACTGGGCTGGCCCCTGTGGACCAGGTCCAGGTCTACTCCAGTGTACTCAGGCTTCAGTTCTCTGGATCCAACCTGCAGGTCTGCCCCTACAGTCCTCAGTTCAAGGCTCACCTTCATGGACTCAGGTTCCATATCTTCCCCCGTGGGCCCGGCACCAGGCCTGCCCCACTGGAGTCCTTGCTGACTCAGTACCAGGGCCATACTTGTGGGCACAGGTGTCAGGTTTGTCCTGTCCCAGCACCAGGAAGGTCCCCAAGGATTGAGATTCAAGGCCCACTCTGTGGACCCAGTCACCAGGTCTATCCCAGTGGACCCTTGTGCCAGGCTGGCCACGCAGACCCAGGTTTCAGGCTTGCCCTCTAGACCCAAGCATCAGGCATGCTCCTTTGAGCCAGGGTTCTGGGCCTGGTCACTCACTGACAAGGACTCCAGCAGTAGCCTACTCATGAAGCCCAGCACACAGCCTGCCAGACTCTCTGGGTAGGCTGACAGTAAAGGGCTTTTCTATAGAAGCTAGTCTGTAAAGACTGGAGGAGGTGATTGGTTCTTCAAATGCACAGATGGGGTCATGCCAGGGTATAGGGATCACAAAAAGTCTGGGAAACATGACACTGCCAAAAGAATTATGTGGAGCACCAGCAACCAACCTGAGGGAAATGGAGATGTGTGAACTGCCTGACAGCGTTTTCAAAACAGTCGCCTAAAAGAAGGTGCGTGAGCTACAACAGAACACAGATAGACAACTAACTAGTATTAGAAAACAATTCATGAACAAAATGAGAAGTTCAACAAAGGCACAGAAACCATCCAAAAGAACCACATTCTGAAGCTGAAGAACACAGGGACCACACTACACAATTCCGTAAAGAGCTTCAACAGCAGAGTCCATCGTGCAGAAGAAAGAAGCAGTGACCTCAACTGCGTCATTTGAAATTGCTCAGCCAGAGGACAAAAAGAAAAAAGAATGAAGAGTTAATAAAGCTTATATGATTATGATAAACCGTAAATGAACAATATATGCATTATGGGCGTCCTGGAAGGCACAGGAAAGAGGAAGAGATAGAAAGCTATTTAAGGAAATGATGACAGGAAACTCCCCAAATATGGAGAGAAATGAACATCCAGATCCATGAATTAAAAAAAAAAATTTAAGAAAGGGATAAAACTAAACCAAAAACAAAGAACCTCAAATAGATTAAACATAAAGAGATCTTTGTAAGACACATTATAAGAGGCCAGACATAAATCCATGCATTTATTATCCATTGTAACTTGGCAAAGGTGCCAAGAACACACAGTTGGGGAAGGACATCGCTTCAAAAAATGATGCTGGATACCCTCCTGCAGAAGAGTGAAACTGGATCCTTACTTCACACCATATAAAAAATCAAATGGAAACTGATTAAAGAGTTAAATGTAAAATCAGAAACCGTAAAACTACAAGAAGCAAACATGGGGAAACTCTTCTTGACGTTGGCTAGGGCAGTAATTTTCTGGATACGATGCCGAAAGCACAGTCAGCAAGAGCAAACATAGAATGGAATTGCCTCAAACTAACAGCAAAGGAAGCAATCAGCAGAGTGGAGAGACAGCCTACAGAACGGGAGAAAATGTTTGTAAACCATACATTTGATAAGGAGTTAATTTTGAAAATATATAAGGAACTCAACAGAAAAGAAAATAACCTAGTTAAGAAAAGGGCAAATTACATGAATAGACATTTTCCAAAGAAGATACACATGTCCAGGAGCTTATGATTAGTATATGGTAGAAAGTTCAACATCACTAATAATTACAGAAATGCAAATCAAAACGAATTGAGGTGTCATCTCATACTGACAAGCTAAGTTTGAATGGCTGTTATAAAAAAGACAAGCTAAGTTTTGGTAAAGATGTCTAGAAAAGGGAAGGAACCTTTGTACACTGTTGATGGCAATGTAGTCAATTTGAAAAACAGTATGGATGTTCCTCAAATAATTAAAAGTAGAACTACTGTATGATCCAGCAATTCCAATTCTGAGTATGTATCTAAAGGAAATTAAATCAGTATCTCAAAGAGATATCTACCCTCCCATGTTCATTGCAGCATTATTCACAACAGTCAAGGTAACAACCTAAGTGTTCATCAATGGATGTAAAGAAAATGTGAGATATATAATGGAATATTATTTAGCCCTAAAAAGGCAGGAAATCTTGCCATTTGCAACAACGTGGATGAACCTGGAGGACCTCATGCTATGTGAAATAAGCCAGACACAGAAAGACAAATACTGTATGATCACTTATATGTGGATTCTATACGATACTGAACTCATAGAAGCAGAGATAGAATGGTTTTCAGGGGCTGAGGACAATGTGGAGATATAGGTCAAAGGGTACAAAGTTTTAGTTATGGAGAATAAGTAAGTTTTGAAGATCTGTACAACATAGATATTATAGTTAATGATACTGTGTTGCATATTTGAAATTTGTTAAGATAGTATATTTTAAATGTTATCACCACATACAAAAAAAGATAACTGTATGGGGTGCTGTTATGTTAATTAGCTTGATTGTGGTAATCATTTCACAATGTATACTTATACCAAAACGCCTCATTGTATAGCTTAATAATGTACAATTCTTGTGAAGTATTTTTCAAGAAAGCTAGAAAAAATAAAAAATATCTCAAAAAAGGTAAAAGTGTAACTCTGAAGGAGAAACAAGATAAGAAAAAAGATAATCTGATAGAATTTTGTAAAGAGAGTAGCTTAGACCAAGAATATGTCATTATTTTTGATTATCATAAGACTAACATTTTAAAATTGTGTCATAATTAAAATGGGGTATGTAAATACAGATCATATGTTGTTTTCAAGCTACTTTTGAAATGTTAGTGACAGTACTAAGACTATTTAGTTTTGTGACATTTGCCAACCTCTGTAGGTTCAGTTTTAGGCACAAGAGTCAGATTGTATTAGTTTTCTTGATTTCTTTAAGAATGAAAATAGATGCCATTAATTTACCCAAAATTGTCTGAATGTCCTAATGTACTAGTAGAGGTCTGAACCAGGAAAGAGGCAGTTATTCTTCCGCCTTTTGAGAAACTGTTACAAAGTTTTCACTGAGCCACTCTGCCCAGTTTGTTTATTTTGTTTCCAATTTCCTCACCATGCATCTAATTGCAGTTTATGTTTAGATACTTATCTCTATAACTGATCCTATTGGTGGTGGTGGTGGTCGTGGTTGGAGTAGTCACAGTAGCAGCAGCTGCAGTAACAGCAGCAGAATATGTTGTTTTGTAATAATGATGATGTTGCTTCATAAGATAGGTGTTTATATCCCCTGTTAGTGGAAGAGGAGCCTGAGGTTCTCAAGGGCTAAAGAAGTAACCCCCATCATGTAGCTAACCATAAAGTATAGTTATAAACAGTGTTCTATTCTACATTGTTCTCCAAAATGTGCTGTGATTGTTGATTATCCTCGGTACCAGCAGTCATTAGGAAGGTGGTTCTGTATATTTTCAAATGTAATTTTTAATGCGAATGTACTCTGCTACGGAATATGGCACAGTATTTTTACATCTGACTTTTAACGCCCTCCTTTGCTCTTGTTTACAGAAAGTGTCACCATGGGTAGGCTTGCGTAAGATCAACATATCCTACTGGGGATGGGAGGACATGTCTCCGTTCACAAACACAACACTGCAGTGGCTTCCTGGAGAACCGAACGATTCTGGGTTCTGTGCGTACCTAGAGCGGGCCGCGGTGGCCGGGCTGAAAGCCAACCCCTGCACCTCGGTGGCCGACGGCCTTGTCTGCGAGAAGCCCGTGGGTGAGTAGCCCCGGAGGCCAGCGTGGCCCAGGGCCCGGGCCCAGCCCCGCTCGCCGCCATCCCTTCCAGGGCGGGTGGTCTGGGCCTGAAGTGACTTTTGCCATCTCTTTATGAAATGTATCCACATTCCTCACGCACTGTTAGTGAGCTTAGCATTAACTTGGGAAAGTAATGCATTTTGTTTTTATACAACCTTTACTTTTTTGGTTGAAATGGTGAGATTATGAACATATGGTGATAGTTCGTTCCAGTATACTAAGAATCTATTCTTAATTTGTTAATGTCTTTTATTTTTATTTTTTATTTTTAATATTTTTTTCTCTTTTTTTAAAAATTGATTTTAGAGAGAGAGGAGAGGAGCGGGAGAGAGAGAGAGAGAAACATGGATGAGAGAGACCATCGATTGGCCGCCGCCTGCCTGCCCCTCACTGGGATCGGACCCACATCCTGGGCATGTGCTCTGACTGGGAATCGAACTGGTGACCTCTTGGTGCATGGGTTGACACTCAACCACTGAGCCACATTGGCCGGGCTAATGTCTTTTACTTTTGTAATATTAGTCTTTGGAAGAAAGATTTGTCTTGACGATTAACAGCTAATTTAGGTCCACTTTAATCGTGTATATTATTTCAGTTGAAAAGTAAAAAGAAACATTTTTGTTACATCTTGTGAAATGGATTTTTGTTCAGTGAAGTGAGAAAAGAATATTGAATTCTTTTCTCTTTTTCAATATTGTATTTTTGTTGCATTAAAATACACATAGCATAAAATTTATAATTTTAACCACATATTTTCACTTTTATTGAGATGCAACTGAGATTTTAAACCATTTTCAACGTAGTGTGCAGTGTCTTTAAGTACATACCCTTGTTGTGCACCTATCAACACCATCTGTTACCCCCCCAAACTGAACTCCATGCCCACTAAACGGTAAGCCCTCCCACTGCTGCCCCACCCCTGACAGCCGCCTTTGACTTTCTGACTCTCTGAGTTGGGCTACTCTAGGCACCTCATATGTGGAATCATAAGGTCCATGTCCTTTCGCGATGGCTTATTCCCCTAGTGTAATGTCTTCAAAGTTCGTCCATGTTGTAGCATGTGTCAGAATTTCTTTTTTCCCCCTGAATAATTATCCACTGTCTGTGTGTACCACATTCTGCTTACCTATTCATCCACTGATGGGTACTTGAGTTGCTTCTACCTTTGGGGTATTGTGAATGGTGGTGCTGTGAATATAGGTTTACAAATAATCTGTCCCAATTCCTGCTTTCTTTAGCCAGAAGTGGAATTGCTATACCATATAGTCATTTTGTGTTGAATTTTTGAGGAATTGTTATAGTTTGCCATAGATGCTGTACCATTTTACATCCCTAGCAGCAGTGTACAAGGGTTCAGATTTCTCCTCATTCTTGTCAGCATTTAAAAAAATGGTAGTCACCTAATGGGTGTGTTGTATACTACATTTTATGTAAAGATTTTATAGTAAATTATTTTATTTTTATTGTTTATATAAGCAACATATTCACTGACATTTGCTTTGATAAGGTCTTCAATATTTATGTAATTGTGGCTAGGAAAGTAAATGATGATAGTGTACATGGTATTTAGCCAATAGATAGAACAGTTAGGTGATATATTTATATTGATGGCTTTTAAATTATACACCTTTATGGACTTTGTAAAGAATTGACCACTCCCAGAAATTATAAGAGTTAAATTTGAAAATAAATTTAAGAAGTATTAACATATCTTCATTAAAAATGTTTTATTGAATTTGTTGGGGTGACATTGCTTAATAAAAATTAAAAAGCTTCAAGTCTCCACTTCTATAATAACATCATGTATATATTGTATTGGGTGTTTCAAGTCATTTTTGCTTTTTTATCCATCTCTTGGCTTAATTGAAATATTCCCTGAACAGCAAAACACGCAAAACGCATTTCCATATGTCCCAGTGCACTGACACATAAAATGATTCCGTGTGTGGGTTTATTTCAGTTAGTCCAAATCAGAATGCAAGGCCGTGCAAGAAGCCGTGCTCCCTACGGACCTCGTGCTCCAACTGCACCAGCAACGGCATGGAGTGCATGTGGTGCGGCAGCACCCGGCGCTGCGTGGACTCCAACGCTTACATCATCTCCTTTCCCTACGGACAGTGCCTGGAGTGGCAGACGGCCACCTGCTCGCGTGAGTGTGCGCCTCGCGCGGCCTTCCTCGCGCGGCCTTCCTCGCGCGGCCACGGTTGAGAAATGAGAGTAGTGGCACACAGCTCGTGTGAAAACCTGTTCACTTTGCATTCCGCTGGGTATCTCACCTGCGTGTTAGCATTTGGCCACATTCGTCCTTCCTCTGGCTCTGCGTGTATGTCGCCAACAGCATGATGTTTCACGACAGGGCTCCCTTCAAGGATCAGGTTGCTTCGCTGTCCTTCGTTAGTGTCCTTTAATCTGGCCCAGTCCCCGTGAGTTCTCTTTCTTACGCGCCTGTGATAGTTTTTAAAGAATCTACGCCAGTGGTTTTGTAACTTTCACAATTTGGGTTTGTCTGATTGTTTCCTCGAGATTAGATTCAAATGAGCCTTGTGTAATCATTAGACTCAGGTTAAGCATTTGGGGGCAAGAATGTCATACCAAGGGCAGCACAGAGGCTCCAGGGGCAGGATGCACAGTGTTGGCATCACAGGGTGAGTCATGTCAGCGGGGCAGTCCGGACCCGCGGGCGAAGATCCCGGCCCCTGGTGGGTGTCATGTTGGATAAGGGCGGTAGGATGGGATGCACCTGACGGCGCCTCCTCGTACTGGGGACACTGTGGTTACAAGAGTGGCTTTTCTTGCAAAGACAGATTGCCTCAGGGTGTCAAGGCCAAGGGGATGGCACAGTAGCACTGATAGCACTTGGTGACCTCATAGGAATTTGAGACCCTGGGCAGCTACCTTTGCTGGGGAGGATTTAGAAATCGTTTGTCTCAGCGTCTCACTAGAGCGGCGTCCCTCCTGGAAGGAGCCGCGGGCGGGTTCCTAGCGGTGCGAGCCGGGACACAGCTCGTCTTGACTACGTCTGGACTGGCTGTGAGCCCCTTGGCTTCCTGGCTTCCTTCCCTCGGGGTGCCCACTGGAGTGTGGTGTGGTGGAGGGTGACTCGGTCTTCCTTTCCCCCTGAGCTCTCTTGGTTTTCTCTAAGAGCCACGTCCGCGAAGAGCAGCTTCATGATTCTGAGACCCCTTTTGGTGGTGAAACTACTGTTTTCAGGCGTGCCTTGGGGTCCAGTGGACCTCAGACAACATGGTCACCCAGTCATCCTTCTTGCTCGGATGAGTGACCTCATTCACAAGTGGCTTAAGGTGATGCAGGTGGAGACTGACTGTTTTTTCCAGACCTTCCCTCATTCCCCAGGGAAGATGTCTTTGACTCAGGGATCCAGCCAAACCCATTTTTGTTTTTTATTGGACCCCACTGTGCATGAAGAGTGACAAAGCAGTGTCACCATGCAGGCTGGAACTTTCAGGTTGTGGCTCCCGTGTACACGTGTTCTCCCCGGCTCTTGGCATCAAGTGGGAGGTGTTCCTGGGATGGGTGTGGCTGCATATATTATAGGTTGAGCTCCCTGCTTCTATTCTTTAGAGCGCTGATAAGGAATGGTGACATATCTGATTAAGATGTGGCAGTGGGGATATTGCAAACATAATATTGTCTTCCTGACACAGAAAACATCTTATAACCAGGCGCCAGCTGCCCAGGAGGGCTGAGTATCAGTGCTGGAGACCGGTGGGGAGTCGAGACAGTGCTCAGTCCATCTTGCTCCATAGTCCTGTTTGTCGCTCCGTAAACATTAATGTTTAGTGAAAGATGCCAGACGCAAAATATTACATACTGCCTGGCTCCATTTGCATGAATTCCAAAGTAGTCAAAGCTGTATTATATTGTTTAGGAATGAATATTTTGGTGGTAAAACTATAGAGTAAGGCAAAAAGTTATTCTTATAAATGTCAGTGGATACTGCTGGAAAAAAGATTGGGAGTGATGGTTAGGAAAAGGGTGTGAGGGAGGCAATGTTACCCTTCGAGGCTGGGTGTAGGTTCAAAGCATTTATTTACAATAATGTATTAGTATGTTACATTAGGTTGTATTATAGTTTATGTACTTCCTTGTATGTGTGCTATGTATGTGTTATATTTTATAATAAAAAGGCTAAAAGGTAGGGAAAAGGATACACAAGCTCCTATACTCTTAAGAAATTTATAAAAGTTATTTAGAATTAGGTCTAAATTGTCTTCTTTGCTCACAAATCTTTCCTACATTTCATTCCTTCTTTCTTATCTGTTCATCTTTTGGAGAATAGTCTTCAGTAATTCTTCCAAGTACGTTTGTGGCTGGTAAACATTTTTGAGTTTTTGCATGTCTAAAAGTGTATTTTCCTCGTCCACCCAGGTGGTAAGTGGCTGAAACGTGGAGTTCTAAATCATGCTTTCCTTGAACTTCCAGCGTCCCATGGGGTGAGAGTGGCTTGCCAATTTACATGTTTGTTTCTTTGTGGAACATTGTTTTCCTTTACTTTGAGAGCTTTTAAGATATTTTTTCTTTATGCTTGGCATTCAAATTTGTGCAATTTGTTTAAAGTCACTTTTCCAGCAGTTGATGTGGATTTTTAGAAATTGATTCTCATTGTTTTTCAATCTGAAGAGTAGTTTCTTCACCTGTTAAAAATGTTCTTTAATGTCTTAGATGATTTTTTCTTCTATTTAACATATCCAATAAAAGTATAATAAGAAAGAATAATTAGTTGTTGGAATTTCTAGATTTTTTTTTTTTTTTATCCTCACCCAAGGACATTTTTCCATTTTTGGTTCAGATAGAGTGGGAGGGAGAGAGAGAAAGAGAGAAAAACATCGACATGAAAGGGACACATTGAGTGGCTGCCACCCACATGACCCAACTAGGGCCGGGGACAAACTGCAACCGAAGGACATGCCCTTAGTGGGAACCGAACCTGGGTCTCTCTGGACTGCAGGCCGACACTCTAACTGCTCAGCCAAACCCAGCCAGGGCTAGATACCTCAATATTTCTTAAATTCACTTGTACTTTCCATCTCTTTGCTAAGTTTTTTGTTCCACAGCTTTTAAAATATGCCCTGTGCATCCTTGGGGAAGTGGGGCATTGCACGTTGTATCATTTGAGGTTTTCTAGTAAATGGAACTTGAAGGAAACTTCTCTTTGCAAATAAAAAACAAATACGGATTTTGAAATATTCTTTAGTATTTTCAAATTATAATATTGTGGTAGTAATGCTTAAAGTTCACAGATTGAAGAAAAGAAATATATTTCAAAACAAATTTTGCCTAATGGTTTCTAAAAAAGCTTTGCGAATAATGGGAACTATTAATAATGAATATATTTTAAGAAATTGGGTATTCTATTTGTGAAAATGAAATCCAATGAGATTATTTAAAGCAACAATAGAAGACTTAGTTCTTAATACATATACAAATAAAAATGTAATTAAACTGATATGGTAAAAATGGAATAAGAAACATGAGAATATAGTATACACCTCACAAATCTATATTTCTTTCAGTCTTTTACAGGATTATACACATGGTCAATTTAAACAATTTTTTTTTTCTTGGCAGTTAGGGAAGGCAATCTTTTGTTTAAATTAATTAAGCTTTCCATTTTAGAGCACGGTTGGGTTCACAACAATATTGAGAGAAAGGTACGGAGATTTCTCGTATGTGCTCTGCCCCCACACAGGCACAGCTCCGCCCGCTGTCAACAGCCCACACTAGAGTGGTACATTTGTTATAATGGTTTACCTGATTGACATGTCATTATTGCCCAAAGACTAGTTTACATTAAGGTTAACGCTAGTGTAAAGTTAACGCTAGTGGTACATTCGGTGAAATGTATAATGGCATGTATCCATCATTAATGTAGTATACACAGTAGTTTCACCACCCTAAAAATCCTCAGTGCTCTGCCTATTCACCCTCTACTTTCTCCTAGTTCCTGGCAATCACTGTTTTTTTTAAAATACTTTTTTGTTGTTGTATTGACATTGAAGTGTTTGCCTGAGATCAAGCATCCAACAACATTCTGATTGAATAGGTTTAAAATCATCTTAGTTCTTTCTTACTGCCAAATCTGGTGAGTTAAAGCACATTAGTTTATTTCTCTTATACCAAGCACATGTTCTTTATTTTATATTTTTATCCTTATTGTTGAGATGAATAAAATAGAACCAGAGGCATGGAAACATGGAACAAAGTGATGAATGAGATTAAATAATTTATGTGCATTTATGCATTGCCCATGAACACAGAAATAGGATGGAGAAGGTCTGGGGTAGGATGGGAACTGGGCGAAGGGGGTCAGTGGGGCAAGAAGGGGGTGGGGACATCTGTCATACTCTCAACTTATTTTTTTTTATCCTCGAGGCATTTTTGCATCCATTTTCAGATAGAGCAGGAGGGAGAGAGGGAGGGAGAGAGGGAGAGAGAAATGGATGTGAGAGAGACACATCGACTGATTGCCACCCGCATGACCCAACCGGGCCGGGACGAACTGCAACCCAGGGACGTGCCCTTAGTGGGAGCCGAACTCAGCACTTTCTGGTCCGCGGGCCGATGCTCTACCCACTGAGCCAAACTGGCCAAACTCAACTAATCTTTTCTGTTGTCTCTGTAGTTTTGCCTTTTCCAGAATGTTATATAGTTGGAATCATATAGTATGCAGCCCTTTCAGATTGGCTGCTTTCACTTAGTAATATGTGTTTACATTTTTTCCATGTCTTTTCATGGCTGGATAGCTTATTTATTTTTAGCACTGAATAATATTCCATTGTCTGGATGTACCGGTTTATTTATCCATTTACCTACTGATGGGCATCTCAGTTGCTTCCAAGTTCTGACAATTATGAAGAAAGCTGCTATAAACGTCCACGTGCAGGTTTTGGTGTGGTCATAAATTTTCCGTTTATATGTGTAATATCAAGGAGTGTGGTTGCTGGGCAGTGTGGTAACGTCTGTTTAGTCCCGAGAAAACCGCTGAGTTGTCTTCCACAGTCGCTCTGTTTTGCATTGCTGCCAGCGATGACGGAGTTCGTGTGGCTTCAAGTCCCCGTCCTCGCCAGCATGGTGTGGGCAGCGTTCCGACACTGGCCATCCTCACAGCTGTACGGTGGTAGCAGGGTTGTTTCAGTTTGCAGTTCCCCAATGACAGGACCTGGAGCTACTTTTCATCCTTGCTGTCTGTATATCTTTTTTGGTGAGGAGTCTTTTGCCCATTTTTTAAATCGGGTTATGTGTTTTCTTATATTGAGCTTTTTGTTTGTTTGTTTGTTTTTTATCCTTACCCGAGGACATTTTTCCATTTTTTGTTCAGATAGAGCAGGAGGGAGAGAGAGGAAGAGAGAGAGAGAGAAACATCGATGTGAAGGGACACATCGAGTGGCTGCCACCCGCACGACCAACCAGGGCCGGGGACAAACTGCAACCGAGGTACATGCCCTTAGCAGGAACCGAACCCGGGTCTCTCCGGGCCACAGGCCGACGCTCCAACCACTGAGCCAAACCGGCCAGGGCTTATATTGAGCTTTAAGAGTTCTTTGTGTATTTTGAATAACAGTCCTTTATTGATGTGTCTTTTTCAAATATTTCCTTTCAGTTTATGTCTTGCCTTTTCATGTCCTTAACTGTGTCGTTTTTAGAGAAGAATAAATTTAAATTTTAACGAAGTTCAGTTTATCAATTCCTTCTTTCATGGATTGTGCCTTTGGTGTTGTAACTAAAACATAACCAAACCCAAGGTCATCTAGATTTTCTTACATGTAGTTTTGCTTACATCGCCCAGCTGTTTTTACTTGCTGTCTACTTTATCCATTAAAGCCCACAGCCTATTAATCATAGTTGTTTTAAGTTCCTGGTCTAGTAATTGCAACATCCCTGTCATGTCTGGTCTGATGCTTGTTCAGTCTCTTGAATTTGTGGTTTTGTCTTTTGGTATGCCTTGCAATTTTTTCTTGATAGACAAATATGATACATGGGTAAAAGAAACTGCTACAAATTGGCCTTCAGTAATGTAGTGGTGATGTGGGAGGGCGGAAAGTACTTTATAGTTCTGTGACTAGGTCTCAGTGTTTTGGTGAGCCTGTGGGTGATGTGGGAGGGCGGAAAGTACTTTATAGTTCTGTGACTAGGTCTCAGTGTTTGGTGAGCCTGTGCTCCACACTATGAATTCACTAGTGCTTCTCAGTGTTTCGCCCCTGTTAGGTGATATAGGATGGACTGGAGGGAGCTGGAGGTTGTGTATTTCTCTTTCCCCAACCATGCTAGGCTTGGGTACCAGGTCAGGTAGGCGCAGGTAGGCGCTTATAAAGCCCCCGCTGTCTGGGCTCTGTTAAGTTCTTTCTCCAGCTTTGCTAAGAAGAACACAATGCTCTGGCGTCATTTAAGATGGTTCCTTTTCCTCTCCCCCTGCTGGGAGCACAGGGGGCTTTTTCTTTGATATTTACTGTGAAGACCTGATAGAGCCCCCAGAGGTAAAGCCCATAAAAGTGTGGGGTTCCTCTTAGGACTGGGTCCCCTGGAGAGTTTGACCCTCAGGTTGCCCACAGTCAGCCATCAGCAGTGGCTCAGTCACAGGTCGGGCTTCCTGACGCTGGCCCTGGTTCCTGCAGAGGGCACTTGGCAAGTCGTGATGTTCTCCATCCACCTGCTGTCTCTCCAGTTCTGGAGACAGTGGTTTCCTTCGTGCCCCCTTCTCTGATGCATCTAAGCATTGTTGATTTTTTTCAGTTTGTGCTGCTTTTTACTTTTTGTTAGACTGGAGTGGTGACGTCTAAGCTCCTTACCTGCTGGACTGGAAACCAGCAATCTTCAGTAATCATTTCATGACATTACTTTTTGCAGATTGATTTTTCAAATTCTTACAAATTTTAAAAACCATATTAAATATTTTACAACTTTGTCTTTCAAAAAGCCAAAACAAAATAAAAATGATTGCTCCAAATACTTGTAGCTCATATCTCTGTATCTCTATTACTTAGGAAACATTCCTGTTATTATTGTTTTCTGTAAGAAAAAGAAAAACCACTAGAGTCTGTCAGTTTTTGAGTCAGCATTAAATACTAAAGAATGAATTTTCTACAGGGTTAATATTAGTCACTTGTGTTTAATGACTCGAATATTCTTCCTTTTAAAATTTATTATTAAAGAAATATAGATGGTACTCATTTTCCCCCTTCCTACATCCAATCTCTGAAATGCTTAGCATGCAAAACATAACAATCATATTGTTAATCGATGAATTCTTTAATCTAATATTCTGTTATCACTGCACAGTTCTCTATATTGAATCCCTGATGTTCTCTGAGATCCTTGTACCTTTGTTTGTGGCAGTCTGAGGAACATTTCTGTTCTCAGTGATATTGAAACACCGAGTAGCAGTTAATTCATTATTACCACAACAATGACATTGAGTCTTTCAGAAATCTACCATTTCTTTCCATTGGGAAAACAGGTGACTGGAAGACATTGTTCATGATGCCTTGTCTTCGTGTCACTATCTTCTGTGGATATACAAATCCTAAGACAAAGTGTTCCTATTCTAGAAAAATGTCAATAAAAGTAATTAAAGAAAGTCACAGCCCAACATAGGATACCGTGATTGTGAATTAAAAATGTAAAACATTACACAGTAACTATTATAAATATGATGGCAGACTATAATAGGTTCACCCTTGGAAAAGGCATCACGGTATTGGTAGGCTTTGTTGAAGGTCATAGGTTATCCATCAATTAAACAAAACTGGTTGTGTTTCAGAGAGTGAGTCTCGGAGAGAGAGTCTGCAGCCCTGAAAGTCAGAGACAGCCTATCTGCTGGTTGCCCAGGGTATCTGGGTTCCATGTTGCCATTCAGTTTTTGTCTTTGGGTAGAGATTGAGTTGACTCATCACAGGATAGCCAAATACGTGTATCTTGGACCCTTGGAAAGAGCATCGTCCATGGGAGGCAGTCCTAGTGTGGCTCAGCCATCTGAGGGGATGGGCAGGCATCCTTACACTGGATGTTCCAAGGCAGGTGCAGATTTCCCTTGAAGGCCCTTGGCTCACATGGCTCTGCATCTCGGGCAATGGGAAATGTGGGCTGGAGGCCCCTCATTAACTCCCTGAAGGTCTTGATCCGGGCGAAGTTCAGGAGTTGTTAAGGAAGTTCTTACTTCCACATCATAGTCACCAACATTTTTAACCCTCGAGTCAGTCCATTTATCTCTTCTTTGTTGATGATGAATCTTTGTTTGTTTGTTTGTTTTAAGTAGTTACTGTCTTGGGCATCATAACAAAAATATTTAAAGAAACTATAGATGACCTTTTACAGTCTTTTTTTTTTTTTTCAGATCATATTTATTTTTCCACTAGCTTATCATGCCATTTGAATACGAAGTCCATGTAACCAATGTGTTAATGCCCCTGTCATGCAGCTCAGAATTGTTCTGGATTGAGAACCTGTGGACAGTGTCTGGAGCAGCCTGGCTGTGGCTGGTGCAATGATCCCAGTAACACAGGACGAGGACACTGCACTGAAGGGTCTTCTCGAGGACCCATGAAGCTCGTGGGAGCGCACAGCGATGAGATGGTTCTCGACACCAGTCTTTGTCCCAGAGACAAGAACTACGAGTGGTCCTTTATCCAGTGTCCAGGTAATACAGATATGATGATAACAGTTTCAGTTTCTCAAACTGTTTTTCAAACAATTTCAAAACCAAGAATATTTTTTTCTTTCTTGTAAGAAAGATTTAGAAAACAATAACAAAGAAGATGAGGCTCAAAATTCAGAGAGAGAAAAATATCCTCTCTCATATCCATCTCTGTTGTATAGATGGTATTCTGTTTGAAATCATTAGATAGACCAACCGGATTCATTGCATATCATTTTTAGATTTGGTTGCATGTCAGTTGTTAAGAGGAAATAGTATTGACTTATGCCTATTTTTTATCCTAGTATTATAATATCTTAGAATTCAAAGATAACTCTGAGGATCTAGTCAAACTTTATGCTAAGTGTGGGAATTTTCTCTAAAATACCTATGCTGGAGTCAACTTTCATCTTGAAAGTTGCTTTTGGTACTTGAAGGTCATTAATTTCTAGTTTTCAGGGTTCTTTTTTGCCCCACAAGAAATCTTTTCTAATAATAAAATCAACCTTCTTGAGAAATTAATTTATTCAGTATATTTTTATTGAGTGCCTACTATGTGCTAAGGAATATCTTAGATGCTAGAGATACAACAATTAACAAAAGAGACTAAAATCATTGCAATCACAGAGCCTATTTCTAATTGAAATGAATGCAGTTTACCACACGTACACATACGAAGTTTGATGGTGATAAGTGCTATTAAATAAATACGGCAAGGAAGGAGGAGTAAGGCTTGCCTTTGAAGGCGGCTGGTAAGAGAAGACCTTACCGAGAGGTGACAAGTAATGAACACTTCAAGCAGATGAGGGAGTGAATCCGGGGACACCTAGGGAAAGAGGGTTTGAGAAGGGGGAGTACCAGCCGGGCACAAAGACTGGGTAAGACAGTTTATTTGGGAAGTGAACCTTGGAAGCACAATGGATGTAATAAGGAGTTTCAGAGAAAAACCAGTAATATGTGCATCACTATGGTGGTGCCTACTCTGGGAAAGCTGGACTTAGACCCACTAGGGAGCTCTGAAGAACCATGTCGAAGGTTCCTCATTGTTAACTCGCCGAGGAACTGGGAGGGTGGGGGTATTGATCCATGAACTCTCGCCCCCTCCTCGTTGACTGATGCCCCTGGGGGTATGTGGTTCTGAGCTGGGCCAGCACGTCGGATGAAGAGCTCTCCCTGGTACTCTTGAAAATTCTGCAGCAGAAAAGTGAAGAGATGCACAGAACTCCAGACTTGAGGTGCGATGTTGACAGTTTGTTGCACAGAAACCAGATGTGCCGTATTCATGACACAGGGTGGAACCGTGCCTGCTACGTGAACTTGGAACTGCATGACAACAAAAACGAACAAACTGTTGATTCACACGACTTATCGAAATCTTAAATGGATTTTGCTAAGTGAAAGAAGCCCGACCCGAAGGCTACATGTTGTATTATTTCACTTATAAAACAATCAGGAACAGGCAAAACTGTGGGATGGAAAACAAACCAGTTATTTTCCAGAAGTAGTTAAAGGTGGGGATGGCCTTCGAGGGGGCCCCACAGTGGAGTTTTTCGGGTTAAACTGTTCTTTACGATACTGAGGTAGTTGATACATGGCACCAGGCACTTGTCAAAACCCATATTGTACATCACAAAAAACGAACTTGTTGAATGCAAATAAAAAGCCAATCACCATATCAGGGGATCCCAGGATGGAAAGATGGAGGGATGGAAGGATGGGATGCAAACTCTGACAAGTAAATTTAACTGTATTACAAATCCACCCCCGGCCCCTGCAAAATGAGCTGACCTAAATAACTTTTGAAAATAGTGTTTTGACTGGATACTTTAATGCTAAAGGGGAAAAAAAAAGAAAAAAACTGTACCTAAATATTGTATTCTGGTTAACACATTTGTTCTCACATGGTACAAGTAAACAATTCTAATAATACTTTATATGTTTACTAGGTTTGGACAGATAAGTAAATGAAGGGTGTTTAATGTGTGCCAGGTTCCCACTGTCAGAGAAAGAAGTTACAAATAAGTGGGGAGTGGAATACAGAGACCCTGTGGGCTGGATTAGGGTCTGAGACAGCAGCATGAACTCGTGTTTATACAAATTTACAAGTAAATATGGGCATGTGTGTGTACTTAGGTTAGTATATGTGCATACATTTCTTAGCTTTGTTTGCAGGGAGGGTATAGAAGCCATGATACCCCAATAGCAATGAGTATTTTCAGTGCCATATCTTGGTTTCTAAATACTGTTTTCTAGTGAATGGCTAGTTCTAGGCCTGGGGCAGGGAGAATACAAGGTGGTCCTGGAGCATTGTTTAGTGCTAGAATGTGCTATTAAAAAATAAAAACCAAGGGCCCTGGCCAGTGTCTCTCAGTGGTTAGAGTGTCAGCCTGTGCACCGAAGGGTTGTGGGTTTGATTCCCAGTCAAGGGCATGTACCTGGGTTGCAGGTTCAATCCCCAGCCCTGGTCAGGGCACCTCCAGGAGGCAGCCAATCGATGTGTCTCTCTAACATCAATGTTTCTCTCTCGGTCTCTCTCTCTCCTTCCCCTTTCCTTTTCTCTCCCCCTCCCTCTCTTCCACTCTCTCTAAAAATGAATGGAAAAAATAGCCTCAGGTGAGTATTAACAAACAAAGGATGGTGTAATGTCAAAGGGACATAGAGCCAACCAAAAAGAATTCTCAATAGATCTAATCCACCCCCCCCAAAAAAGTGATTATATTGGATTGTAACCCAAAGTACAACATACCCATGATTCTATTCTGATTTAAATGATTGAATAAATAATAAATTGGTGAGAATGGACAAATATTTTTTACAGAAAATTTTCAAATAATAAATGTAGAAGGAATGAGGGGGGAAAAAATCACTGTTAGAACTCCATGGTAATAATTGCTGTAAGAAGAATCCACTTAAGACTGTTGAAATTAGTGGGTGAACCTTGAAACAGGGTATTTGTGTAGCTTCAAAGCATCTCCCTGAGAAATTCTTATTAATGACTGTGGTGGTTTTAACATATATCTCCAGATTCTTTGACATTCCTAAAATAAAGAAATCCAGAGCCAGTAAGCCAAGAAATTAGTCAAAATGAAATAATATTTAATCCAAAAGAAGGTAGACCAAGATAAAAAGAATACAGAACAGATGGGACAAATAGCTAACTAATAGAAAAATGATAGTTTTAAGCTCAGTAATTTCTTTTTTTTTTTTTTTTTTTATCCTCACCCGAGGACATTTTTCCATTTTTTGTTCAGGTAGAGCGGTGGGGGGCGGGGAGGGGGGGGAGGAACAGAGAGAGAAACATCGATGCGAAAGGGACACATCGAGTGGCTGCCACCCGCACAACCGACCAGGGCTGGGGACAAACTGCAACCAAGGTACATGCCCTTAGCGGGAACCGAACCCGGGTCTCTCAGGACCGCAGGCCGACGCTCTAACCGCTGAGCCAAACCGGCCAGGGCTTAAGCTCAGTCATTTCAATAATTACCCTAAATGTAAATGATCTAATTACCCCAATATAAAGACTGACATTTTCATATTAGCTAGAAAAGCAAGACCCAGCTATAAGCTGCCTATACAAAACTTAGTTAAAATGTAAAGACACATACATTTTAAAAGTAAAAGAATGGAAGCAGATATACTGTGATGACATAAGCCAAGAAAAAGGTGAATTGGCTATATTAATATCAAACAAATAGTTTTCAGAGCAAAATATAGTACCTAGAATAAAGAGTGTCACTTTATAAAGATAAATGGACAATTCATCAAAGGGGCATAACATTTCTAAACATTTTCACCAATTAACAGACTTTCAAAACAGATGAAGGTTTTTAGTGGTGTATGATCAAGAATCCTCTTTTAATCTCCTTCTACTCTGATTTGTGTAGCTGGTACTATACCTGTTGGTTTGTTGGTTTGTTTGTTTGTTTTTCTCTCACCGCTTTTTTTTTTTTTTTGGAGAACGCATTAAATTTATATTGCAGCATAAAAAATGACCACAAACGTAGAGGCTTAAACAATACTCATTTATAGCTCACAGTTCTGTATGTTGGATGTTGGGGCAGAGCCTGGCTGGCTTCTCTGCTCCAGGTCTCAAAGCTGAAAACAGGTCAGGCTGAGTTTTTGTTTGGAAACTCCAGAGAAGAATCTGCTTCCAGGCTTATTCATTTTATTGGTGGAATTCAGTTCCTTGTAGTTGTAGGACTGAGGTGCCTGGTTTTCAGTTGGCTGTCAGCCAGTGAACAGCTTCTAAAGAATGCTCACATTCTCTCCCACGTGTCCCCCTCCGTCTCCAAAGAGCAAGGTAGAGTCTCAAAAACTCAAATGGGATCTTACACTCTTTTAATCTCTTTCTTCAAGCAGTTCCCTGTAATGGATCATCTGATTGGGTCCATCCAGGATGATCTCCCTTTTTAAAACTCAGCTGTGCCATGTAACATACCTACTCATCAAAGTGACTTATCCCATTATATATACAGATCCTTGCCATACGCAATAGGGACCATTAATGTTTGATTAAATAACTGAGTACTGTAACTTAGCTTCATTGACACATAAGACTATGGCATCATATAATTTACCCATTTAAAGTGTATAACTCAGTGATTTTTATTATATTCACAGAATTATGCAACCATTACTACAATCAATTTGAAAACATTTGTATCACCCCCAAAAAGAAACCTGATACTTACTGGCAGTCACTGCATGGCGAACCCCCATTTATCCCTGTCAGCCCTAGGCAACCACTGACCTTCATATCTCTGTGGATTGGCCAGTTCGGGTTATTATCTCTAAATTGAATCTTACAATTGTAGACTTTTGTGACCCTATGCATAACATTTTCAAAGTTTATTCATGTTGTAGCATGTCACAGTACTGCACTTTTTTTTTTTTTTTTAACCAAATAATATTCCATTATCAGAGTATACCACATTTCATCACTTCATGGACTTTAGGGTATTTCCAGTTTTTGGCTTTTTGAGTAATGCTTTTATGGACATTAT